TTAATATCCATATAGGAGTAAGTACATACCATGCTTATCTTCCTGTGACTGGATTGTCTCACTCAAGATGGTTTCCTATAGTTCTAGACATTTGCCTGTGAATTTCAATATTTCATTTTTTTCTGCTGAGTAGTAATCCATTGTGTAAATGTACCACATTTTCTTTATCCATTCTTTGGTTGAGGAACTCAAATAAAATATGTTAAATATCTATGATCTAGGTGATACTGCATGGTCTATATATTAAGTACTGATAACAATCATTGAAGCAAGTAAATGTCCATACATAAATCACACCTAAAACATGGACATGATAAGAAACACACTAAATGATGGACATTTTCAAATAAGATAAAAATATTGTATCTTAGGACCTTGATTCGGTGCCTTAAATATTAAAATATAGTAATTGTCATTTAATAAAAATCACTGAGCATACACCATTGTAAGTTACTTGCTTAGGGTCTCATTAGTCAGTTTTATCTTATTCAAATTCATCAAAAATTCAGGTAGTCAGAATTGTATGTAAGTATGAACATGTAATTTGACTAATTTAATATTTCACACTTGTATATGTAGTTTTGCATATTTCTTATATTTTTAATTGCATAATATGACAGGTAGACTCAGTATATTTGTATTTCAGATCAGTTCACTGAAGCTTAAAGATGATAAACTGATTATACACATGCATGAACTCTTCTAGTGATTTGTGGAACCATATATAGAAATAAAGTTGTTTAAATCTTAAGCAAAAAGCATTCTTGTATTGTTATTAGGGAGACTGTGCTTCCTTTCTTTTGGGTTCTCAGTCTCATAAATAAAGGAATTTCACAAAATACCAAGAAGAACTCTCAAGAACAAATTTACAGGCAAATGGATAGAACTAGAAAAATCATCCTTAGTGAGGTAATCCAGACAGGAAAAACCAAATATGGTATTATTTTATTTGTAAGTAGCAGCTAAGTAAACGATAATCAAGCTACAACCCACAGACCCAGAGAGGTTAGTTAAAGAGGAGGGCTATAGGGGGAAGCATAGTTATCCCCGGGAATTGGAAAAAAGAATGTATTCTGATGGTGGATTAGAACATATGATGGGAGAAGGGGGAATAAGTTGGGGGGTATGAAGGGAGAAAGTTTAGGGAGCGAAAGCTGGAATTGTTGAGCATTTGGTGAATGGTGTGAAAACTTACTTCAGTGGAAACTTTCTGGAATCTATGAGGGTGATTCTAGTGAGGACTTCTAGTAATGGAGGATATAGAGTGTGAACTGGTCATCTTTTGTACCCAGGCAAGGCTTCCAGGGGTGGGACTGTGTTACATTTGGTTGAGTTGTTGGTCAAGGAATTACCATTGATATCTCTAAGTAACCCAGGCTGATTCTAGCAAATAAGGTTTCCCTTTGAAAACTGACAGCAGGGCCTATTACTGAGGATCACTTCCACTAAACTCACTGATATATAGATGTTGAGCTTGTACAGGCAGGAAGCCTTCACCCCTACATTATAGTTTCTGTTATGAGAAAGTCTCCTGGATGCTATAACAAGAGAAACCTGTACACTAACCCAGCCACAAAACCCTCCACCTACAATCTGTCCTGCCTGCAATATGTGCTGGGACATTGCTGGCACAGAACTTTTTGGGAGTGGCCAATTAATGTTTCGCTTAACCTGAGGCCCACATCAGAAGAGGGAGCCCATGATTTACCTGGCCTGGATGACCAGAAATCAGCGAGTGGATACCCAAAGACCTAGTGTCAGGACTAACAAAGATGTATTAAACACACACACACACACACACACACACACACACACACACACGAGAGAGAGAGAGAGAGAGAGAGAGAGAGAGAGAGAGAGAGAGAGATGATTCCATTTAGGGAACACACACACACACACTGAAAGGTAAAACACTGCCATGGTCTTCTGTCCTTGGTCAGGTCTCAACCTGTCACCCCAAGAAGAGAGCTCTCTTCTTCCTTATAAGGAATCACATCTACATACTGAAGCCATGCCCTAGGACTCTGAAACTGTTGACAGAAATGGATTCCCACTATATATTAAAGAAATGATATTATGCTGTACTCAGATCAGTGCCTTTTCCAGTCATCATCAGAGAGATTTCCACTACCAGCTAATGGAAGCAGGTGCAGAGACCCATAGTCAGAACTTATGAGGGGGAGAGTCTACAGTGGAGGTCTGTACTGGGCCCATCCCATTGGAGAACAGGGAACCCTGTGGAAGGTAGAGAGGAATGATTATAGGTGTCAGAGGGAATGAAAAACACCAGGAAAATATGGCCAACGGAATCAATTAAACAGGGCTCATATAAGTTCATAGAGCATCAAATGGCAAGCACAGGGCCTGCATGGGTCTGAACCAGGTCTTCTGTATATATGTCATGGTGTTAGCTTGGTATTCTTGAGACACTTAAAAGTGGGAGTAGGTGTATTGCTGATTCTTTTGCCTGCTTTTAAGACTTTTCCTCCTGAGTTGCTTTGTCTAGCTTCAATATGACTTTTGTCTTTTCTTACAGTATCTTATTTTGCCCATTCTGGCTGTCGTCTCTTGGAGCTCTGCTCTTTTCTGGAAAGGAAACAGAGGGGAAGTGGGTCTGAGAAAGGTGAAAGGTGGTGGTGGGGAGCTACAAGGAGTAGAGGGAGGAAAATCTGTGGTTAGGATGTACTGTATGAAAAGAAAAATATACTTTCAATAAAAAAGAAAATTAAATTTCTTGGGAAAAACAAAAGGGTATATTTTCAGAAGACACAACTCAATCCATCTCACCATGTATCCCACAGACTAAAACCATCTTACCATGTAACCCATGGACTAGGCTCTTCTTTACAAAACTCTCATGATGTATCTATGGATTCAAGTTTGTAAAGAAGTTTCTGACCTCTTATTGCAAAACATGAACAGGATGGTTTACTCTTCCCATTGCCAGGGTAATCTGAGACTAGACTAGCAAAAATGAAAAGAGATTATCGATATACACTTAAATCTAAAAAAATACTAAGCAAGAAAACCATACGCAGTTATTATTGTGCCATTCATATTATGAGAAAAATATTTTAAAATAATTAACTTTAGGATAAAACACATTGTTACTTAGTATATCAGCTACTTATCTTTCTGACAAAATACAGAGAAACAATCTGGCAGAAATGGTTTTATTTTGTTTCCAGCTTGTATGCACCATCATATGAGGAGAACATAATGAGTAGAGACTTGTCCATGGTGATGAGTAGAGGCAATGGTTACTAGTTTCACGGTGCCAGCTATGAAGGAAAGAGGTAGATCACAAGTTAGGCAGATATATATATTTCACTGGTGAACTCTAAATCCCACATCTACCAATCTGTCCCCACATTTTTAAGTTTTCAAAGACTCCCAAAACAACTTGTAGCTGAGGAAACAGTGTTTAAACTCATGATATTTCAAGAACCATTTCAGATTGAAGTATAATGTAGCAATAAGGGAGAGACTGCTGGAGAGTAGATAATTACAATCACCATAAAATCTTCAAAAAGACATAAAATGAAACATACTACTGTGTATTGGCATAAAACTGAAGAAATATGTCAAATCATGAAAAACTTGGAAAAGTCATCAATAAAGCAATCTTTTTTGTGTGTTTTGTTTTTGCTTTCTTTTTAATTTAAATTAGAAGCAAGTTCCCTGTCCCTCCTCTCTTCCCCTGTCCCCACCGGACCTCCTATCCCATCCCGTTTCTGCTCCCTAGGGAGGGTGAGGCATTCCATTAGGGATCTTCAATGTCTGTCATATCAAATAAATCAATCTTAAACTTAAGAACACAGTGAAATTTTCTCACCTAAGAATGGTAAATAGCCAGACCTGGTCTTTGCTGCATTTAAATTCTTCGTTTCTTCAGTTTTCCTGAAAAAAAAAAAAAGATGGTGATATAAACTGCATCCTCACAACTAGCAAGCCACACACTGGGGATTTGTGTTAGGGTGTACATACTCTAGGATATGAAAAAAACTTCCATGTATAAGAGATAATTTCAAGCAAAAAGAAGTAAAATGCCATTCTGATTATAAAGCACAAGTTAAAAGGTAAATATATTACAATAAGAAACAATTAACTGTAACTCAATAGGTACACATACATGCATTATTTCTATATTCCATATCCATGAATAATGCAAAAATGCAAAATAGGATGTTATTTTTATATGTTACATCAACTATTTGCAAAGATCAAGCAGCACTGCTGTAATAAACATCAACAAGTGTTTCTGAGTTTGTGGGAAAAAATGGAAGCCTTATGCATTAATTGCATGTGGAGGTTTAAAAGGGAAATTATAAAAGAGTTTACCAGCCATCAATAATCCCTTAAGGACTGTTTTTAAATACAGTTGAGTTCTAATCTTCAGACAAACATTATACTATATACAAAAAATCTAGAAATGTGTACGATTTCAGAGTAAAAATGTCTAGGTTTAAAATCCTTTTAAAAGCGGAACGACAAAAGTAGTCTACTGCATCTTTACTGAAGAATACAAAACTGTGAGGCAGTTGGTTCAGCAGGCATGAGGTCTAGCTCGTAAGCCTGAAGACTTGAATTTAATCCCTGAGGTGCATACTGTAGGAGAGAATCCTGAATCAGAAAGAAAACTGAACATATCTAATATCTAGCCATAAAATAAATGTTGAGATATCTTGAATATTAATGATACAGGTTATAAAACACAAAGCCATGGAATTGGTTTCCAGAAGCATATTTGTGCTCCTCAGTATGTGCAGAATAAAGACCTATGAGGCCGCTAACTTTCCAGTGTATCTCGCTGACCACTTCCAAAGAGAGGGAGTCATTTAAACAGTGAACTTCTCTCTGCCTGGTGTTGGTTATAAATCATATACTAATTTTCACTGGCTGTATCAATATTCATCAGGCTGGTTCTCTATTTCTTTAATATCTTTCTTAAGCTAACCCCAAAGTCAGATACAGAGAAACTTGACAAGTACTAGAATTACCTGAAGACTTTTTTCCCCCAGTCTGTGCAGGATTTTCTATTCCTCTAACTGTAGCATGAAGACTGGATTCATATTCATTAGCCGTGTCAGTCACAGGATCAGTGGTCACTATTACGTAATTACTATCATCTTCCGGGCCAGATGATTTGGCCCGCTTGTTAACGGGACTTGCTTTGTCACTTTCACTGCTGTGTGTTGATGCAATATTGCAGGGTGAACTGCCAGGATTATCTTCCCATCCAGTACTAGTTTCAATTTGTTTCTTCTCTCCTTGGTGGACACTATGTATGGAATCTATTTCCCTTCTCGTTTCAATGATGACACTGGGTTCTTGTTGAGTTTTGTTCTTCTTCTTGCCCAATGCTTTCTCTTCAGGAGCCTCCTTTTCCTTAGAACTTGGATACATTTTCTTGATGAGTGCATCAAGCTGAGGGTCTGAATCTAATGACCTTTTTGAAATTAGTTTTCTTCTACACACAGGACATTCTTTGTTGCCACGTCTAAGGGCTGTGATGATACAATCTTTACAAAACCGATGGAAACAGTCTCTGGTGATCCTGGTGTTCTTCAATGTATCCAAGCAAATTGGACACATGAAGTTATTCCAGGAAGGACCACTTGAAGCCACAAAGACATTTGATGGTATCCCCTGAGATGTTCCAGGTAATTCTTGTATACTCTCTTCTGATGTTTCATTTACTAGGTATACTTCACAAGACTGAATGGCCTGTGACATTGTGGATTCTGATGCAGCTTGAGACTCTGTTCCTCTTAAATTGGGCTGGGCTAGAGATTTGGCATTGTTCACTGATTCCTCCATCAACACTGAGCACGTGCTTACACAACTGTACTGGGGTACTTTATGTATATAAAAACCTACAAAAATTTAAAAGAAAGAAAATGTTAGTGTGATAAGGCAAATAATGAGAGTTTTATAGTCTGACACTTCAGCAGTCAACAGGTGCAATATTATAGGAAATACATCTCAAAAGGCATAGAGTGAAAAACTAGATTTACCCCCCAAAATATGTTTGAAGAAACATTTTAATCAGGAAACTGAAAAAAATTTAAAAAGGAAATGACAACTTGACTCAATTTTAAGAAGAGTTTTCAACCCTAACTACAAAAGCACAGAAATTAAGACATGCTAAGTCAGAAAGGTAAAATCCTATTCCTAGACAAAGAACTATAGGCAATTAATGACTGTAAAGAGAGTTAGCCTTTCCCAGGTATGAGTGCCCTGATTGGTTATACAATATGAAGTGGTCAAGACTGAAGCTATATTCAAAAAAGAACATAAAAAGACTTTCCAGGTATATTAATATATTTATGGATATATACACATGCATATGTAGGGTGTGTGTGTAAAACAATAATAAAAAAGGGGCCATCAACTGGAGAGGGTGTGGGGTACTATAGGAAGGGTTGTAGGAAAAGGGAAGGGGGAAAGGATATAATTATACTTTAGTTAAAATTTAAGAAAGAAAAATAAATTCAAAGTAAACTAAAATAATTTTTATAAAATGGCCTTAGGGATTCTAATACTATAAAGAAACACCATGACCAAGGCAATTCTTACAGAGGAAAAAACATTTAATTGGTGTGGTATACATTTTTAGAGATTTAATCCATTATCATCATGGTTCAACATGGTGATGTGCAGGCAATCATGGTGCTGGAGGAGCTGAAAGTCTTACATCTTGACCCACAGGCAACAGGGAGTGGTCTGAGAAACTGGGTGTGGCTTGAGTATACATGAGACCACAAAGCCAACCCCCACAGTGGCACACTTCCTCCAACAAAGCCATACCTCCTATTAGTGTCACTCCCTATGAGCCAATTACATTCAAACTACCACAACTATAAGTACAAATAAATACATATTTTAATGGTAAAAATAAGCTACTTGTTTTCTTTCATTTCTGGGTCCTATACATTTAGTACATACAAAAATTTATTTGTACATTGGTATGACAAGAGCCTGAGTAGGTTCAGGGACATGGAATGGAATTAATAAGAATGAGGAGGTGTAGAGGGGGAATTTATGAGTAGTGGATATGGTTAGAGTACGTGATATACTTGAAAGTCTTTACAAAACTCATCAGTATGTACACAAAATTTAGGGCAATAAAAACAAAAGCCTGAAGAATACACAGAAAAAGCTAGCTCTACATTATGTTGCTGGCTATGCATGAGAAAATAATCAAACTATCTAAATTGAGTGGAGGCAACTTTGAAGATGCTCTAGACCATCCACAACAGGATATTGTGAAGACTATCCCATTAGTTTTCCTTTATCCAGTAGATACTGAATTCACTCATAAGCTAGGCTGTGACTAGGAACATGGTTGGCCTAGCAGGCATGAGTCCATCGATTTTATCCCTAGTGTCACCAAACACAGAAACACCATTATGTTATAGGCCATGTAAAGTCATAAAAGAGTATATTCATTCAATGAAAATATTTGAGAAACATCTTCTGATGAACCACAATTCACAAATAAAAAGTATGTGTGAGAGGAGGAAAAGGGGTTACTAGAAGTGATTTACTAGCTTAAAAACTGTGACACGTAATGCATATTGCCTATTCTAAAAGTACTGCCCCTAGTTGCCTTATTGGTATCAAAGACCTTCCTATTAAAAAGATTATTCAATATAGTGAAATGATTTCATGATTGAGCTCATCTACAAAATGTGATCAACATATCACGAAGTACTTTGAGCAAACTAATACAAAAACATGTTTGCAATGTATTCAATCTTACCATCTTTGTTAGTGCAGTTTGTGGTATCTGTTGAATGATAAATTTCTGAAAGAACAAACTCACCTTACAGGGCATTAGAGTATCATAGGATGACAACTTGATGGAATTATAGATGACGTGCCATGAAATGAACTTCAAAGCTGAAAACAAAATGTGAATCTATCATTATTTCAAATTGAGAATGGTTTTCAATTTAAATGCAGTGTTCTCATCAAACAATTGCCAAACTTTAAAACTACAAGTGCTAGACTATAGCTTGTGTATATGGGAGTTTATAATCAATGAAAGACTGATCTACATGACTTCCCAATTGTATATTCTAAGACAGTTCCACGGTGATCCACCTAGAAAAAATTAAAGGATTACTTCTAATCTGCTAAAAACAATTTGAGATGGCTAAATTTTTATAATTCATAAATATTCCCCTAAGATGAAAATTTAAAAGATTATATAACTTCCAGGAAAAAAGTATTGTATGCCATTATGGCAAGTTCTAGGTAAAAGCAACTTATAGGGCTAAATAAAAAGGGTAGTGTACATTCTTTCATATTCACATTATTTAAAATCTACATTAACACTTCTATATTGGGCCCTAAAGGCAAGTATCCTTCCCTTGTTGGTTCACTCTACAAACTCAGAAAATTGTGACTTCTGAGCCCTGACATGCAGAATATCTTTTCCTTGAGGGTGAAATCTGAATCAAAGCGATGCAGTGTTGGGCATGCTGGAATTCTGCTTTGAGTCATACATTGGAGAGGACAGTATAGTGACAGGGCAATTTAAAGGTCTATAC